CAATTTTCATCTTTTGAAGGTGATCCTTGACTTTTTGGAAATATCAAGATGTCCTATTCAATTTCTATTTTTATCATTTTTGCATTTGGAGAGTTTATCTTGATGTAAGTTGCCTTGACAAAAAGTGTACTTTTGTTGACTTTTAAAATGGCTCATAATGTATGGGCTCATATCTCTCAAAATAAAGCACTTTTGGACTTGAGCATACAAATACAAAGTTGTAGAGAATTTAATTTCATTCAAGATGGGCTTTTGTTTGGGGGAAATTGATGAAGCATGTAAAAATTATGTTTGGTCAAAGTTCAATTGACTTCTCCTACGGAAACCCTAATTTGGCAACTTTTGGCTTTTGATGATTTGAGGGATTTCCTTGAGGATTCATGATCAACCCTTTATCAAATGATGAATATCACTTCAAAATGTTGATGTTGACCAAAAATCTTGAAGTTTACTGTATGTTGACCATAGTTGACTTTTTACTCAATACAGTTGATTTTCAATCATCTGAGCCATTGACTGAGCAAACTTATGATGCAAGACTTGAAACTTGACATGAACATTGTTGAAGACCTATGAAGAACCATGGAAACCACTTAAGACCTTTTCAACCTAATCTTCCTTGAGAAACTCAAAACCCTAGTTGTAGACCCATTACTTAAGAAGAGCATTTGACTGGTCAATCCTTGAGTAGCCTTGAGTACTTGAGAGCCTTTTGAGAATGTATAGAAGAAAATGGGAGGGAAAATTTTATGGTAAAACAGCAGGTATAGTTGAAATTGTTCAAATAAATTTGTTCATCATAGGCAATGCTCTATTTGATGAGAGTTGTGATGTGTTTGAAGTTTATATAGTTTTCCCTGTCGAGGTTTATCCTTTTGTTGTAATCTCCTTTGAATATCAATGAAACTTCTTATCTTTTCTGGTTATTTCTTCTAGTCTTTATGTTTTTCACACATAATTACCTTTTGGATTATGACAAAAGGGGGGACTAACTAAATGAACATAAATTTTGATTTCAATAATCAAGTTCTGGAAAATGTTCTTTGAAAAGAGCTGCTTACGTTCTAACCCAGTTAAACTTCTGTTTCTGTTAGAATTGTTTTTCTTTTTCAGGAAATGAGAACTCTGATTAAAGACAAAGATCTGAAAGCATTGTGCAAGGCTTATGTCTAACCTATTGGCTTCAAACTCTGAAGATATTTTTCAATTAATAATCAGACTCCAAAAAATGAAATATGGAATCAGACTCTAATGAATTGAGAATCTAGAAGTTGTCTTAGTGACATTAAAGTTTCAAAGATTTCAGTTTCAATTTTTCCATTGGCATCAAGATCTCAATTTTTCCATTGGCATCCAAAGTCAAGACTCTCAAGATCTCGATATCTGATCTATTGGAACCAGGGGTTTTTACTCAAATGGTTCAGAGTCGGGGTATTCGACCTTCATCAAGTCATTGACTCAGAGGGAGTACCATAAAAAGGATAAGTATTACTTACCTTTCTATTTTCACTTTTTCTGATTATGTGAACAAAATTGTGTCATGAAAATACATATTTTTGTCATCATCAAAAAGGGGGAGATTGTAAGAACAAGGTTTAGTTCTGCAATATTATCTCTTAGTTTTGATGATAACAAATGAGTATATTTGTGTGAACAATTTTGTTGTACTAATGTTTGTTTTAGTTCCTCTTCTGCGCTACACAAGTTTTATTGAACAGTAGAAAGACACTCCAGAAGGCTCTGAAGTGTAAGCTCTGATATGTGTCTAAAGAAAACAGTCATAAGATCTGAAGACAGAAGTTGCTACTTAAGTTCAGATGCTAAAGACTCGTATTTCTAAAGACAATGGGTTCTAAAGAAACTGTCAGAAGATCTGAAAACAAAAGTTTCTACTCAAGTTCGGATGATAAATACTTAAGTTTCTAAAGACCGAAAAGCATCAGAAAGAAATCTACGCCCAATTTCATCTGAACTAAAAGATGTTTACGCCCGACTTCAACTAGAAGAGGTACCGAAAAGAGTCTACGCTTGAATTTTCCAAAAAGAGCATCAGAAATAAATCTACGCTTGATTTCATCTGAACTAGAAGATGTCTACGTCGACTTCAACTAGGAGAGGTACCCGAAAGAGTCTACGTCCTACTTTTCCAAAAAGAGTACACGCGCGGGAAAATCTCCCCGACTTATAAATTACACAAGGGATTCATGTTTCCTCCGGGGAACACATGAATCTCCCAAGGAGAAACATGAATATCGCGGACGAAAACACGAATTTTGCAGGGAACGCATGAATCTCCCGGAGAGAAACATGAATATCGCAGGCGGAAATACGATTTCACGGGGAACGCATGAATCCTACGGGGAAAAACAGTAAAATCTATGAATGTCGCATGGAGAACCTACCCAGAACGCGAAATTTGTATAAGAACATGCATGCTGTAAAGATTAAATGGATCATGGATAAAGGGAAGGCACTTACTTGGGTGAGGATTCATTTTGGAAAGTACGGCGACGACTACGGCGACGATGACAGCTAGATATGGATTAGAGAAAGAGAAGCGAGAGGGAGAGCAAGGATTGCGAAAGTAATAAATGAATCCTTAAACCCTTATTTATAAACCTTGCATGGAAGACGAAATGTCACCTCAACATGCAGCCATCCACGCGCCTAGGTCATAATGACCCTTACGCCTAGGCCATCATTACGCATTAAATACTGTGACACGTGGCCCAGCTAGCGAACACCGACCGAGGCTCTTCGACTCTCGAATGAAGGGCAAGCAAAACTTCCTCCTCCGCGAGCATACCGCTACTCCCGACCAAGGTATTCACCTATCATTTTCCCCTACAAGAAAGATTGTTAATTTGATCGATCATTTTCCCCTGCGAGGAAGATTGTTAATCTGGACGAACGTGTTCCCTCCTCTGTATATGTTGGACTGAAAGCCAATGCTCGAGTAGTTGTTCCCCGTGTGCGAGTCGACGACGGAGACTCACGGGAAGCTACATAGATCCTCGGCATCGTTGTCTCCTCGATAGTTGAGCTGACCTAAAGTCGTAACTCATCTACTTATGAGCAACGACTTGGAGGACTCCTGTTTTGAATTGGGTTGGCACTTAATCTACTGTCGGGATAAGTCTAGTCTGGTTCTTTTAGAGGCCCAATAACCTGTTGAGGGTCAAGCCTGCACTTGGTCCCTAGTCGGGCAAGCCCATGTTATTGTAATCGTTGGGGAACATCCCCTACACGTGCTCGTCGAGAACCTGCTCCTCAGCACGTGCACGTCGGGAACGTCTTTGCAGTATGCCCGTCAAGGATCTGCTCCTTAGCGCGTGCACGACAGGAACCTCTCCTAAAGATGCTCGTCGGGGACATGCTTCTCAGCACGTGTATGCCCGCAACAGTACATATTCGTTCCTCTGACTATCACGGAGTCATTCTGCTCCCGAAAAGAGCTGATTTTCATCCTTCAAGAATCACGGAGCAGTTGAACCAGGATAGAGACCATGAACTGGTCTCCTCTATCAACGTAGGATCCTGACAGTCTCCATTTTGGGTCTAGGCATCCGGTCCAAATGGAGACCTTGGTCCAACGCTGGGAGCTATAAATACCCTCTTTTACTAGAGGGTCAAATACATTATTCATTAACGATCTCTCTATCTCTCTGTTTGTATTTGTTTTTATTTTAAACCTTACTTTGACATCAGAGTGTCTTGCAGGTATTCTCACTTCACTTTCAATCGTCGTTTAATTTAAACTTGTGGGTCATTGACGTTCCATTTTATTCAGATACGATCAATTTTCTTTTCAAAATAATATAACCTTTACAATTAGAGAATTTAATAAAATATTCACATGAATAATAAAATAGATGGAAGCAATAAGTTATAAAACGATAATATCATATAAAATGCAAACCATCATCAAAGTAAGTATCAACAAATAAATACATACAGCCCCGGAGGCATGAGTAAATCAAAAGCATCTATATTGAGTTTTATTTCATTGTGAATAGTCATAATCTTATGGCAATAACAGCCATATCAATTGTTGAGTATTTGTACTATAAGTCATTCTTCAAGGATCTCTTTAGTTTGTAAGCAAGATGATTGAAAAGGTTAATACATATTGTTGGCGCAATTCAAGGTCAAGTGAGTAGCATTTCTATATTTTGAAACTTTCTTTTTTAGAGGTAGACGATTTTGATAGAGACACGCTGCATCTAACATCTTAAGGTGATAGGTGAGTGGATTTTCACATTTATAAATGTTTTGAGTCTCCACATAATCAATGTGAGACTTTCCCACATCACTTGGTTCGCATGAGTTTGACTGAGAAAACGCAACATTCATTGAAGACATTCAATTGCTACCTTGAAAATGGATCAAGAGAAAGGCCCGTAGATTCGGCTACTCTCTAAACCAATGGATTAAATATCCAAAGGAATCCGTCAGGTCTCTGGAATGGTGGCCGCACCTGGATTTTTAGTGCTAATAGTTCTAAATGCTGACTGCATATGTCATATGTGCTAGTTGGTTTCTGGCTGCTGTATTTTTTTGGTTGGTCAGGATGCTGAGGGGGCCTGAGGACGGTTGCTCTCGTCTACTAGTATACTGGTGTATGGGTTTATCGGTGCGTGTGAGGGTTTATCGGTGCGTGTGAGGGTTTATCGGGTTTGATACAATTGGAATGCATAGGAGTAACATTTGAGGTGCTGTTTTGTACTGTTGTAGGCATGAGTAGTGAGAGTAAAATCATCGTGATTCACTAAAACTGTGCAGAGAGAGAAACAACAAACATAAATTAGAAAATATAGTTGAACAATAGAAGCAATTTTGAAGCCTAATATCATCCCTCCAATCATTTTCATACACAATAAGGATCAACACGATCCCATTAGTACATTACAACGTTAGAAAGGTAAAAGCGGAATATAAATAAGCCTAACGATGCCTACATATATAGCGACCCAGAAAAAACCTAGAAAATAGACTTGAGTTTAGGAACTTGTGAACTTGGTAACAGCTTTGGTACCCTCAGAAACGGCATGCTTGGCCAATTCACCGGGCAGAACAAGCCTGACGGCGGTCTGAATTTCCCTGGAAGTAATCGTCGGCTTCTTGTTGTATCTTGCAAGTCTGGCAGATTCAGCAGCAAGCTTCTCGAAGATGTCGTTGATAAAACTGTTCATGATTCCCATGGCCTTGCTTGAGATACCAATGTCCGGGTGAACTTGCTTCAAAACCTTGAAGATGTAGATCTTGTAGGTCTCAACACTCTTCTTGTTTCTCTTCTTCTTCTTGTCTCCGGCGGCAGCACCACCGTCCTTTGGGAGCTTCTTTCCAGCCTTTGGCTTCTTCTCAGCCGGAGCTTTCTCCGCTACTGTAGACTTCTTCTCCTCTAAAGGTTTCTTCTCTCCTTTTGGTGCCATTTCTACTTAGGGATTTGAAAATTGAAAACTGAAAACTGAAAGAAAATGTAAAGGTGTAGATAGAAATACTGTGAATGATAGTGTGTGGGGCGGTGATGTTTTATATATTAGAATGTACTTGCGTTACCATTGGTTACTCATGTTATTCGCGGATCGATGACGTGGATATACATTAACCGTTACTTTTCTTTCATTTTCCTTGTACATTGCTTTTCATTCCAAAAGCTCTTGATTAAGAGATTGATTTTGATGTTGCAAAAACAATTTAATATAAGTATTTTTATTTTATATTTCTAAAATCAAACATGTTTAAGGATTTAAAGTATATATATATATTTATAAAAAAAATTATATGCGAATTTCTTATTTCTTGATATTATTTTGCTAGATCATTTTTTTTATTTGTTAAGTCCAATTGAAATTGAAAAAAAATTATTTATCACTTTAACACATAAATTATTAGTAACTAGTAACAAATTCGTGTGTATGTATTTGATGTGTTTTTAGATGAAGTATAGTTTTGGACGCGTATTTGTTTATAAATTATAATAAAAATGAAAGGTTGAAAAATGAAAAAATTTAAGAATAATAATACATTTAATATATATATATATATATATATATATATATATATATATATATATATATATATATATATATATATATATATATATATATATATATATATATATATATATATATATATATATAAAAGATGAAATGTAAACAATAATATTATAAATAATATGACTAAAAATAAAAATAAAGCTTATATTAGATAAATCAATCGTTTTAGTATTTTATAAATAAGGCAATTATTTTACAATAGAGAATATAATTTTAAAATATGTACTCAATCTTTTTTAACAAGATTCTTTAATCTTTTTTAAGTAAAATCCTTTAATATTTTTTACATATTTAAAAAAAATGGTTGTTAAATTTTCATTATAGTAGTTTTTGTTTATAACAATTTTTTTTCATTTACAAAAAATTTTTAATCAACAACAGATTTTTTTCTCGTATATAAATATTATTTGTGTTTTGACATTATTTATAAATAAAAAAATTGAATTAATAGTAAAGTTGTTTCTGTATATAAAAATATTTGAATCAACAATGTATTTTTTTCGTATATAAATATTATTTTTGTTTTTTTATAATATTTATACAAATATTCAAAATGGTTAAAAAGCAGGCAACTCTGAGTGTTAATTTCGTAAAACAGAAGGAAAGACCTAGCCAAATCACTTAAGATACATTTGGAAGTTGTCCCGTTTTTTACATTTATGTGATTGTTGGCTGGAATTTTCATAAAGAGAGAAATTCAAACTAAAAGTCAAAAGGGATCTTTTAAGAGCATTAAAGAGCATTAAATTATGAGGAGTCGACTATCAAAGCATGTCGACCATGGTTGATTTCACAGGCAGGCGACCGAGGTTTCGTAAGCGCAGTCGACCCGAAAAAAGTTCATGGTGAATAGATTGGGCCCAGGGAGGTGAGAAGTCCAAAAGAGTTAAAAGACCCATAAGCGCCTAAACGGTAAAGGCGAAACATTATGGAGGGAGAACGTGGGTTCAACCACAATGGAGAACGCGGATTCACAAAGAGAAGTTACAATAGAGAACGAGGGTTCGTGAAGGGAAGTTACGAAGAACACGTGGCATGCAAGGAAACGAAGCTCACTTAGAAAGTAGTTATTTTTGTGTATTATAAATAAAGCACTTAGTGCACTTTTGTAAAAGGTCAAACTTTTCACATTCCTTCACGCTAGCCACTCAAAGTAACCAAGCGAACGAGCGAAATGAGTCAGGCAAAGGCAACGTATATTTAAACCAACCTATTTTACAACTTTCTTTAATGATGTGTCATTATCTTTTACAACTTAAAATGCTTTTCCGTTTCCTTTACTTAGTCTTTTTGTCCTTAGCTTTTGCAATTTAAATATGTTTGGCTCCGAATCGAACACACCCTTTTTGAAAACACTTTGACCAGTGTTGTTTACCAAATTCACGGGTAAACAAATTGGCACACCTGGTGGGACCGTGCTAATATTTTTGTGTGTAGTTTCACAAAGTTCTTGTAGTTAGTGTGTGTGATCGGTGGATCTGGAACTGACTGTTTAACGCTGGTTCGCGAAATGTCGCGGAAGCAAGAGTCGCCACCGTCTTTTATTTTCTCCAAATGGAAAGGACAAAAGCACAGAAAAATTCCTTAAAGAGATTGCTCTCGGTTCGGGAGGTAGATTATAGAAAGGGAAGGTGTTAGCACCTTTTCTATCCATGGTTATCCATGGGCTCTTAGATACTTGCTCATTTGTGTTTTCAAAAATGGTTTGTTTGCTTTTCAACTGTGGGTTTTAAAAAAGGTTTCTTTGAAAATTTCAGTTCGACTCTTGTATCGGTCTTTAAGAGTGTTTGAAAAATTGCTTTCGAAAGCTTTTTGAAAAGTGTCGGTGTGAAAAGTATTTTTGAATTTTGTTTGAAATTTAGAGCAAGTATCTAGAGTCATCTACCTACCCTAAGGAATTCGTCTGTGTAGATGTCCTTTAAAGTAGTGTCATCCCACCATTGAGAGATAGGTAGCACCACCATTGGAGGTGTTCGGGTCAATTCGAGGTTCGGGACATGGTGATCACCGGAGCAATAGGAAGACACCTTAGAAGCTACCCTCATGCCAGGTTCCCGGATCATGAGGACTTACTAAGACATCCTCTACTCGACGATCACCTTTCGAGGCAAGGCAACAGTGAGGCGTACCCTAGGGGTGGTGTGTGATTTGTGTGTCATGTTCAGTTATTTTGTCTTATTCATGTCAAGGTGATCTATGCGTTTGTTTTTATTTTATCATTCATTCTTGCATGCATTGCTTAACAGTTAAAAGTTGCGAGGAAAAGTAAATCTAAAGCTATTACAAAAGGCGCGGGTCCACATCGCCAAAATTAACCAGGACCCGATTTGACAGAAAAATAAATAAAGTAAAAGTGCGAGAAGTAATTTACATGGCTTCGGGAGAGGTACATAATTATTTAAATGACATAAAATAAATATGCGAATAAATAAGAAATTAAGAACGAGGGCGTTGGACCCTTTTGCAAAAATTAAAATTACATAAATTAATTAATTAAGAAAAGAAATTGTTTTTGTTTTTTGGTATTTTATGATTTAATATAAAAAGGAATTAATCAAAATGCGACGCAAACCCTAATTCTAGTTATTTTAATTTATTAAGAAAACGTTAAAATTTAACCTAAATTAAACCTAATTTTTATGTACAATTTTAATTATGAAAATAAATAAAATAAATAATATTATTGTGAAAAAAGAAAAAAATTAAAAGGAATAAAACATTTACTAAACCTAGTTCTATATTTTTTAGATTTTTTGTTATGAAAGAAATTAAAATTAAAACCCTATTTTAAACTGATCAATTACATGCAAATTTATTCATGAAAAATATTAGAAATAAATATTTATTATATTTTTTATCCTTTTTTGACTTTTATGCATTTTTTATATTTATGAAAAATAATTAATTAACTGAATAAACAATAATTAAGAGGAATAAAAAAAATAATACAAAAAAAGGTAAAGAAAATAAAAAGAATGTGCAAACCTGGGGGTTCAGACCCCAATATGGAGGTTAGATCCAAGCAATTCTGGCCCAACAAGCCTGGTCCGTTTGACTTTTTTGGGTAGCGTACTGAAGCGTGGACCAGGGTTTATGGTGCTCTCCAATTTTCAGCCTTTGATTTGAGCCTGATATGTACGTGGATGGTGGGATAGCGAGAGTGTATGCTAGTCCTTAATGTTATGCCTGCATAGGATGGTAATTTGAAAAATAATATTGAGAGTAACGAAGACCTGGGGCTCGAACCCAGGTCATATGCATTGCCAACGTTCACACCTTGCCACTGGACCACTACAACGCGTTTGTTAAATAAATAAACAACAATTAATATAATATGAAACAATGCCTTAATGTCTTCAGCGCGCGAATTTTTAAATCACCCTATCACCGTGTGCCACGAATTCGTCTTCTCCACCTTCCTGAAACACAAAACATTTAGGCCACGGTTTTACACGCGTTCTGTTAGGTAGCTTTCCAGAAAATAACGATTAGCCCTCAGACACTCATAAATTGAGCGTGAGGGTATGTTTAGATTCGTCCAGATGCGCTGGTTTGAATGGTATGGGTCTGGAAGGCTAATTTTTCCTCGTTTCAAAATCCCCAATTTTGAGGTCCTGCAAACCCTAGAACACAAACATGGCACAATCGCGTATACAGCATAAAAACATAATTGAATCATATGGTTAGCATTAGAACTTTATAATGAACATGAATCAAGTATTAAAAATCACAAAAGATGCGTAAATCATGATGCACGATTATGAATTTTCCATGAGATATCTTGAATGCTGTATACCAATTCCTTGCGTTTTAATGGTTGTTCTTGATTGGAATATGTTCAGTGGACCTTGAGGAAGCTATTGAAACAAGTCTTGAGACCTGAATCGCCTTGCAAATGTGTCTACAGTTTTGAGTTTTTTGCAATTTTTTTCAAGTTTGACAATAGCTTTCTGGAGCAGCTGTACGTCCATTCTCATTAGGGTTGTGATCAGGCCTTTGTATTGAGTGAATTAGGTCAAGAAAAGTAGAACAAATCCAATGCAATGATGGTTTTTGAAAATTTGATTTTAAGGATCTTTTTCATATCTTTTTCCATGCAATTTTGTGTCAATTAGGATCCAATCAAACCAAATCTTCCCATATTTGAATGTGCACGAATTATTGAGTCTAAAACATGTGCAAAAAGATTTATTAGGTTAAGTTAAGTATTTTTCACATATTTAATTGATTTAAATGAATTAATATAAATAAAAATTCAAATAAATAAATAAAAAATGAGAAAATACTTCCCTTTGGGCCAAGTGGTCGTGCACATGTCATGGATGATGAATTATGGAAGAAAAATGGGCCCATTAGCAATTTTAGGTCATTTG